ATTGTCAAGGTTGTCATCATCAATGTCAGAAAAATCTCTTTTCTGTAGTCCAAAATGAGCCATCCGTCGATAGATTGTTCTCTCTGAGAGTTGTAAGAGATTTCCAATGTCCGATATCTTGAAATCACAATCCAAGAACGATTCCAGTACATTTTTGTTGACATGGTATTTTGGATGACCATCCAAACCATCAGTTTTCACAGGTTTCATGTTTCCATACTTGATGCATTCCATTCTCAGGGTCATCCTATGCGCTGGAATGGTAACTCCTAGATATTCCAGTTCATGTTTTGAAAGCATGCTGACAATATTTGGTGTGATTTTTTCTTTTTCAAACATTTCCCGCACATGGAGCAAGCCAACTTTCCGAAGAACTTACATTTCTGATTCTGCCATTTTTCTTTTTGTTTTATCTTAATTCTCTCAATTTCCCATGATTCTATTAATTTCCCATGATTCCCTTCTAATAGGTAATCATAATAAAGAAAATGCTCATAAAGAAAAAAAAACTCATCATAATAGAGAAAAACCTCATCATAATAGAGAAAAACCTCATCATAATAAAGAAAACCCTCATCATAATAGAGAAAAACCTCATCATAATAGAGAAAAACCTCATCATGATAAAGAAAACCCTCATCATAATAGAGAAAAACCTACTTATAATAGAGAAAAACCTCATCATAATAAAGAAAAACCTACTTATAATAGAGAAAAACCTCATCATAATAGAGAAAAAGCTCATCATAATAATGAAAAACCTCATCATAATAGAGAAAATCCTCATTATAATAAAGAAAAACCTCATCATAATAAAGAAAAACCTCATCATGATAAAGAAGGAAATACTATAAGGCAGTTACGGCGTTCCATAGATAATGAATTTAATTATTCCAAATTCTGTTAATGCATACGAAAATATTCCGCTTTTTTTGTATATAAACAAAACAGAAACAATACATTAAACAAACAGAAAATCTATATTTAGAATTTAAAGGCCGTCTCAACTCAGTTTATGTAATGTCTGTTTGATTCATGCACTTGTCTTATCTTCCTATATAAAATCACCCAAAAAAAGTTGTTCTAGAAACGGTGAAATCACTAACAAATAAAATATTTGGCTAGATTTCTTTAATTTTATCATATGAATAAAATAATCTCATGCATTAATAAAATGACTTACAAAACAACACTTACGGTTGAGTTACGTACCAATGAACTATTAATGTGCAAGAAAACAATTCAATATCAATCAAGCAAAATCTGGAAAAAGAGACAGAAGATACCATGAGAACATTCAAAACTCATAAGTGTAAGAGAAACCGAACACGCCATGGCAAAAAAAAACGAAGGACGACGAAAAGACAAACAAGTACACAAAGTACTACATAAAAAACTATAGACTGAGCAACACGAACCATACCAAACACTATAGACTGAGCAACACGAACCATACCAAACATTATAGACTGAGCAACACGAACCATACCAAAAACTATAGACTGAGCAACACGAACCATACCAAAAACTATAGACTGAGAAACACGAACCATACCAAAAACTATAGACTGAGCAACACGAACCATACCAAAACCTATAGACTGAGCAACACGAACCATACCAAAAACTATAGACTGAGCAACACGAACCATACCATATAGACTGAGCAACACTACCAAACACTATGGACTGAGCAACACGAACCATATCAAACACTATAGACTGAACAACACGAACCACACCAAAAACTAGACTGAGCAACACGAACCATACCAAAAAAACTATAGACTGAGCAACACGAAACATACCAAAACCTATAGACTGAGCAACACGAACCATACCAAAAACTATAGACTGAGCAACACGAACCATACCAAACACTATAGACTGAGCAACACGAACCATACCATATAGACTGAGCAACACTACCAAACACTATAGACTGAGCAACACGAACCATATCAAACACTATAGACTGAGAAACACGAACCACACCAAAAACTAGACTGAGCAACACGAACCATACCAAAAAAACTATAGACTGAGCAACACGAAACATAACAAACACTATAGACTGAGCAACACGAACCATACCAAAAACTGTAAACGATGTCAGGTGCTTCGGCTGGATAAGCTTATCCTACTCCAACAGTGAAACCGTCATGTAGCTCAAGTCAAGTACAAATTCAGTGATTAGTTTCATTTGGTGATGTCACAATCTAGGAAAAAAGGCGGGATTGTGGTTATGATAATTTGAACATACCACCTATGGTCATCTGTGACACATATATTTCATAACGGCCAACTCGTGATTCGTTCGTAAAACCTTCGAAGGGAGTCTTGGATCCTTTGGTTCAATAGTTTTATATATGTGTATTTCATTTACTTTAGGTCCGCAAATGATTACTACATTTGTTCATGATTCTTGTTTCAAATTTCTAGGGATTACATTTTTGCAAGTTTTTATTTCAGTTTCTACAGTCTCAAGGAATTATGCAGTGAACACTGTAGAGTGAATCCTTTATAATATAAGAATATTTATAAATACAGTAAAGGTGTATACCTTACTAGTATTACTCATTTTTCTTTTGATAATAACTTTAATCTTTGATAAATATTTAACTATTACGAGACTAATTTTTCTCATCCATGAAGTTTTTTCTTGCCAACTAAAAAGGATTTCGTGTAAATATTTTTTAAATATATACACAATCTAATAAGAAAAACATATCTCTACATTATCAATCAAATATCAGTTTTGCATCAAAAATGTATTTTTATATTTTGTTATGACGTTTGATATTACATAAATGATAATACTCGATGCCATTGTTCAAATTGAAAATGAAACTTTATGGTAAGTTAACATAAGAGTGAAAATTCACCAAATATACTAGACTTATAATTGGTGGCGCTCTAATCAAAACAGCTGGATGGCCAAATGAAATACGAAGTTGAATTGATCAGGTAATTAAATGATCTTACTTTAAACTGTCGGAAAATGAAAATATCAGTAGTGACAACATCTGTATCCTCTATTGCTTTGCATCCATCACCCGAGAGTGATTCGAAGAACACAATCGCTTACCTCTATTGCTAAGCATGCATAACCTTGGTGTAGTACTAGGTATACCATCGTTAGTCTCTCTTTCTATCCATGCATTATCTGACGTGTGATTCCAAGTTCAACATCGTTAGCCTCACTTTCTTTACATGCATAACCGCACGTGTGATTCCAAGTACATCATAGATAGCCTTTCTTTCTTTCCATGCATTACCTGACGTGTGATTCCATGTACAACATTGTCAGCCTCTCTTTCTTTCCATGCATTATCTGACGTGTGATTCCAAGTACAACATCGTTAGTCTCTCTTTCATTTCATGCATTACCTGACGTGTGATTTCAATTACAACATCGTTAGCCTGTCTTTCGTTCCATGCATTATCTGACGTGTGATTCCAAGTACAACATCGTTAGCCTCTCTTTCAGTTCATGCATTCCCTGACGTGTGATTCCAAGTACAACATCGTTAGCCTCTCTTTCATTGCATGCATTACCTGACGTGTGATTTCAAGTACAACATCGTTAGCCACTCTTTCTATCCATGCATTATCTGACGTGTGATTCCAGGTACAACATCGTTAGCCTCTCTTTCTATCTATGCATTACCTGACGTATGATTCCAAGTACAACATCGTTAGCCTCTCTTTTTTTCCGTGCATAACCTGACGTGTGATTCCATGTACAACATCGTCAGCCTCTCTTTCTTTTCATGCATTACCTGACGTGTGATTCCATTACAACATCGTTAGTCTCTCTTTCATTTCATGCATTACCTGGCGCGTGATTTCAAGTACAACATCGTTAGCCTCTTTTTCATTCATGCATTACCTAACGTGTGATTTCAAGTACAACATTGTTAGCCTCTCTTTCTTCCCATGCATTACCTGACGTGTGATTCCATGTACAACATCGTCAGCTTCTCTTTCTTTTTATGCATTATCTGACGTGTGATTCCAAGTACAACATCGTTAGTCTCTCTTTCATTTCATGCATTACCTGACGTGTGATTTCAAGTACAACATCGTTACGGTTAGCCTCTCTTCCTTTCCATGCATTATTTGGCGTGTGATTCCAGGTTCACCATCGTTAGTCTCTTTTTTCCATGCATTACATGATATGTTATTCCTGATACAACATCATTAGTCTCTCTTTCTATCAATGCATTACCTGGCATGCGATTGCATGTACAACATCGTTAGCTCTCCTTCTATCCGTGCATTACCTGACGTTTGATTCCAAGTACAAAATGATTAGCAGCACTTGCTATGAATGAATTATCTGACATTTGATTCCAGTTACAATATCGTTAGTCTCTTTCTTTCCATGCATGAGGGTAGGGATGCCCTTTATCGTCAGCCGTCAAACGGTCATTTTCGTCCACCGTTAGCGTCAAATTGGTTAAAATTTTACCGTGATTCGTCAAAATATCCTTATCGTGATTCATCAGAGGTCTCAAATAATTATCGTTACCGTTATTTTTGGAAAAAAAATTAACGTGATTCGTCAAAAGCAGTCATTTTTTTTATCGTCTAAAAGAAAGTACATTTTATCGTCATGCACCAAAATTTACCGTTAACGTCATTTGGCAAGAACTTTTACCGTTATTCGTCATGAAGGTACCCCCATTACGACCCTCATGCATTACATGACGTGTGATTCCAGTTACAACATCGTTAGTCTCTCGAACTATGCAAGCATATATATATATAGTACGTGAGTGTTGCATGTCATTGATTTTCATTTCATGTGTTTTTTCTCACGGGACAATTGTTTTTTTTTTCAATAAAATTTAGAAGAATGAACTTTAAAAAAAAGTATTTGTTGTTTTTCTTTTTTTTTTCTTGATTTCAATAGAAACAAATTGGTTTTTTTAACGATTTTTTTTTATAAATTTATTTATTAAAAAAAGCAGTGCATCCCCCTTTTTTCTCCTAACTTAAGGCAAACTCCATCTATGATCATCTATTGGTTATAAAATTGCTGTTTCTTAAACTCAAATGTTGGTTACTGCACTTTAATCGGATTACGTATAGAAGCGTCATAAAATCAATGCAAACAATGAATAAGGTAAAAAATTCCATACACTGTATGGAGGAAATATAACAATTTTACTTTCGGTTTTGTATTTCCAGAAAAACTATATACGTGATCACAAGATGGCAGATAATGGGGAAGTAAATCAAAATGAAAGAGAGGTATGTTTAAAATAAAGTATAGTACTTATTTAAAAACGACCATTATTGAATGGTTTTGAATGCATTTAATTTAATGAACATTAACTTCCTTGGAGTAGTGTAATTGTGTGAGGTTTCAATATTACATTACGACCAAAAGTGTATACTTTCTATGGTTATCATACACCTTATTGCTATTTGTCCGCCATTACTGGACATCACAGAGGTAACTGGTTCCCATAAAATTTTGACGTCATAATACAAAATATCTGACGCCATGTGCAATGGAAAAGTGATTGTTGTATGATGTCAGCGGTTCAAGCGGGACAGATTCTCAGGTCAGCCGGGACAGAATTCCAAATAGCGATAAGGTGTATGGCATGAACTATCCACCAGAGAGCACATCGCCACATGTGTCAACAGTGAACGATACATTGCCTATGGCCAATATTACGATCTCAAATCAAAATTATTACTGAACATTTCTGATCATTTCTGAAATATATTTCTTGAACTGAATTCTTGAGCTATTATATATTGCCATATAATGATATAAATATCTTTATGAAAATACATTTCTTTTAAAATATTTTATACAAGACACAATCACAGGTCAATGCTATGATATGATCGAAAAAGTAAAAATCAATATTTCTGACATTTTACTTTAAAGTTATTGTCGTTAGGCTATAGTTGACGCTGTACCACAAGACAAAAAGTAAACTATGCGAGGAGAGGTGAAGTCAGAGATGATGTATCTTTAGTGTGGTAATCAGCCATAAAACGCAAAACTAATGGCACTATATTTAATATTATACCGAGTGTTGATGGTTTACATTTAATTAGAAGAACATATTGAAATAAAGAAAATGTTGATAGGATGAAAAGAAAGTAAATGGAGAACTGGAGAAGATGCCATTGAAGCCATAACAACCAAGAGTTGATGAAAAACGACAAGTAGACAACTAAAAAATGGGTTGAAAACCAAATCTAAGCAACACGACTCCCACACAAAACAGGGGTGAAATCGGGTGCTTTGGAGGGGAGTCAACAAAACGGATGAAGTGAATACTGCATCCTACACATGTTTCCTGTAAATTAAATTTCAAAGGAAATATAGGATACAAGTCAATCCAGTGATAACAATAACCAATAGACTTCTGTGTTCTATTTACTTTTATAGCTGAAATACACAATTAACTTGTTAATCCTTGTATTCTTGCCAGTGATTCTTGCCTTTTAACATAACGGAAATTCCGTATACCTCTTGCAAGGTTCACATGGTTCATACGTTATGCTAACGTTCGCAAGTACACATCATAATTTCTTGGTCATGTGTAATATAAATATCTGTCAATCACATCATGATCTGGCGTTTGTAAAAGTTTCGAAATGATGACCTCACCTAAATTATTAGGAACGTTTGGTGTAAAGACTTCCTTGTAAGCTGCAACACAACAGTCGTTCCTGAATACCGATAAGCGGTATGGAGAAAAATACCCCCTCTGTAATAACCTCGTGTTCGAGGTATCAGTGCTAAGGTCAGAGCTAAATATAAATATCTATTGAAAAAAAAAAATAATCAAAGAAACTTGCATAAAGTGTAATGCAATAAAATGTTACAGCGCATACACAGCAAAGGCAGTGACAATGTACCAAGTTTATGATTTATACTAACTTATGCCGATAACAGTAGACATCATCTTTCATGCAGTGTTCTGTTTTTGTACGTACGATGTGTAACATGCAGCAAAATATAAAAAAAATTGTCCTCTTTATAAATATTAACACTATTTTAATTTTCATTTAGCGAATGGTCAGAGAGCTTAAATTTTTGTATAAGGGACGATTCAATGATGAAGAAGCGAGAAGAATTTTCGATCATGTGAAATGGGATAGGGAAAGAGGTTTGAAGTTCGTTAGTGAAAGTAAGTCTTTTCTTTCAAGTAACATATAGTTATACATTTACTGTATTAGAGCAACATAGAATTACTAGAAAGAAAGTTGGAACATATATTATGTACAGGTGGTTGTCATCTGGAAGATAAAATTATTTGGTATCCATGAAGTAATGTTGAGAAAAGCTTTGCTATTTAGACAGCCGATGACAGGATTAACTATGAACGTGTTTTTCAATGCTTAATGCACAACCGTTTAATATAGATATCAAGTTTAAAAAAACTATTTGATACTTTTATCACTCACAGACCATGGTTTGTTTGTCTTTATTTTTACGTCAGATTTTTCGAAGTTGGTGGTTGGTGTGGTCTTTTGTACTATCCAATATTTTTTTATATTCCTGTTACTCTTTTTATGTATTATCTATAATTGAACTGGCAGAACATTCTATTTTCATTAATTTGAAAAAAGTGGACAGTTGTATAAGAATGAAGTGAATTCATATAAAAAGCCAAGGTAATTTTAAATGCAAAAATACTGAAAATATATTATAATTTTCCTAACATCATATTATTATAAGAAATTGGTGTGTCCTTACCAAATGTATATTAACATTTCATTAACAATCTATTTGTGTAATCAGTTCAATTTTTTTCTCTTGTAAAACCAAAACGGGTATGTAATAGTACAGAAATAACCAGTTTCTATATTAAACCAACATATGACAAGCTTTATATTGTTTGTTATATCATTAATTTAAAGAATGGATAAAATATTCAAATACAGGATGGGAAGCGCTGAATGTTTCTTAAACAATGAAACATTTTAATACCTGGAAATATAAGATGGGAATAAATGGAAAAATCTTAAACAACTCCATAATGGAAGGTGCACAGCTTCAATAGGTTTGCAAACTTTCTGTGAAGTTCCAAAGAGGTGGATTAAAAACAAAAATTGGTACCATCTTTTGAAGTTCCAAAGACTAGAAAAATGGGAAAAAACCTGCCACAAATCAATTTCAGCAGACGCACTGCCATGAAATAGAAGTTCCTTCATAATAGAAGTTCCAAGTGGAAGAAATATTCTGTAATATTATTTACACTGGAACAAATATTAGTGTTTGTTCCTAACGGAATAAAGGGTATATGATATGTGTTCCAACTGGAACAGATATTATGGCATTGTTTATAACAAATAGTCCACGAAACTTCAGTTAGGCGGAAAAAAATATACGTTGACAGCACAACAGCCAAATACTAGTATGTGCAATCATTCTGTGGCTTTTTAAAAATCTGGGTTGAAAATCGTAGGACAAGTTCATTACACAAAACTGGTACCATCTTTTGTAAATTTAGCTGAAAAATAACTTAAGTTCCCATGTCTGAAAAATTCGGAAAATTCCCGAAAAAATTTCATTATAGCAGGTGCATACCTTCAACATGTGTGCAATTTTTCTATGGAATATCAGGGATCTGGTTTGAAAAGTTTAATTTGATTACACAAATTAGATAACCACTTTTCATAGCCCGCCAGTCCGATTTCCGCCCGACATTATCATAATGTAAGCCGGTTTTGGATTTCGTCGAACCCAACCATATTGCAACATTATTAAATTGAACCATTTATATAACAGTTTTAATATTACTTTATAATACATCTTTCTTTAAAGGTGAATCGTCTGAAGTGAGGAGAATAATAGGACAATCAGAGGTATGGCAAAACCTTTCTAGTTATAGAAAACATGTCTTCATCAAAGTGTAAAAATGTATTTGTATGTTGTATTTAATGATCTAAGGCCGTGTTCACACCGAGGCTTAAACAAGTTTGAAACAAGTTTCATTGAAATTTTGAACATTAATTATAAAAAAATACAGCGTTAATTTTGATAACGCTTGAAGCTAGAATTAAATGCATGTCAAATAACTGATTAGTTTTTATTTCAAAGATGAAAACAATACGACTTGTGTACACAAAATATGTTTCACATGGGCAGTGTGAACGTGGCCTTACACGACCAGCGTCGTTTTACAGATAAAAATAATCAGTTATACAGTTACGTCACTCAACAAACGACAACTACTGAACATCAGATTCCTGACTTAGGACAGGTGCAAACAATTGCAGCGGGTTTATTATAAACGTTTTAATGGTACCAAACCTTCACCTTTTTTCTGGAACAATAGTGTAACATCACAACATAGAAAGACACACTATAAAATATCAACTGAAATGGCTTAACTCAATCAAAGAACAGATTAACACCAGTGAACATACACTGAACAAATAAATTTGACCTATGATACAATGTAAATACAAAATAAATAAACTAAGGGAAGAATAATAAAAGTAACATGTTATACCGCTAGAACTTATTTGTACATGAATTTAATGACAAAAAAAAAAGAAATATTTAGGCAGTTGTTATCAAATAGTTCGTTTCTATGTATGTTGGCGTTTGTTTTTGTTGCACTTCTGTGTTCCTGTTGTTCCTTTGTTTTCTTCTTATAGTTGATGTGTTTCCCTCGGTTTTAGTTTGTAACCCGAATTTGTTTTCTCTTAATCGATTTATGACTTTTGAACAGCGGTATACTACTGTTGCCTTTATTTGGTTATTTTAAAAAGACCAAAGAGGTTTCTTATAATGCGACCGTTCTAATCAGGATATATTAGACATACCAGATGATTGAAACGCGCGCACATGCACGTCACTTCTTACCTCTTTTTCTGTCTTTTCAAATTTTGCCCCAAATGTATACTTTAACGTTTTACGAATTTAAAGTATATTTACATTCGTGTCTTTTATTTTGAGCGTTCCTGGTGCTGGTTAATCAAGTGTTATTTTCATTTACGAGCACTGGGTCGATATCATTGATGGTGGACTGCTACTCAGTACTTCGTTGCTACTGACATGATATATAACTTACCTTTCTGAAATTCTGTGTTGATAATCTTTTTTTAATAAACTAAGGTTATTAGTCCCTGAGGCAAAGTTTAACTTAGATGGATCTCTATTATTTGTAGGTCTTTTTTGTCATAAAACTCTTACGTTTTCAAATTTCATATAAATACATCCTTTGCTTTGTGTTCCCGATGATATTATATCCAGAAGGAGCTTCGGACCCTCAAATTTATAAAGTGTTATTGTAAGGAAACATTTTTATGCTTTTAAAATACATTATAATATGATGTATATACGTACAAGACGTTTTAAGTTGATTAACTTGTGTCTTATTCTTTACTTATTGCTTCTTTTATAATATACGTTTAAACTAAATCTAGTTTTTTCCAGTAACAAATACTTCTATAGAAGATTCGCTTTTTAAATGTCTTACATAATCATATATCACAATGATTTTTAGGATACAATAAATGCTATTAAAACAGATCCGACTATCATCGATCTTCTAAAGAATGGTATCAAGAAAGAAACCCGACAGTTTGCTTGTGAAGCATGTGATCATGCCTGGTGGAGAAAGGTGCCCATGTCAAAAGAGGTATGTGTATGGTTTATAAAAGATATCTTATATCAGACAGAAATATTAATATAGTATAACTTAATATGTACTGAAAGACATTAATAACTCAACTTCTATCATAATTTGGTCGACCGTTATGGAATAGCTGTGTCATATCATGTGCGACTTTTCTTCTGAATTTTAAACGATATATACTCTATAGTAAAAAAATGTTTTACCCTTCCAAAGCATCCGTATTGCTTAGTATTTTGTTTTCTGTGAAGTGCATTATAAACTGTTTGTCTGTTCCATATTTGTTTCTCTTGGCTAAAGTGCTGTCTGTCTGTCTTATATATGTAAGCCTCAAATCTATGTCCAGCCTCAAATCTATGTCCTTTCCGCAAATCTATGTCCTTTTAATATTGCGTCATAGACGTTCCAAATTTATGTCCTTTATTGTCTCAAATCTATGTCTTTTATTGTCTCAAATCTATGTCCTGTATTGTCTCAAATCTATGTCCTTTATTATTTCAAATCTATGGTATGGCCATTTTTGTTTCAAATCTATGTCCTTTATCGAAATGTGGTGACGTAAGGAAGTTACATGGACGGGAGTCCCTATCACCCACATAGCCAAGGACGCATAGAACGCTTCAATAGAACACTAACAGAATATTTTAGAAAAGAGATGTCATTGGAAAAAGACTGACTGGCCTTCAAAATTGTCTAAATTGTACAACAGGGTACACAAAAGTACAAAGCCTTCCACACCTTATCAGCTTAACACTAAAAGACCTAACTTTGCAACAACTTATGATCAACAGGTGAATATAAAAATGAATAGAATTTAAAAAAAAAGAAAGATAAAATTTACCATACTACACATTATATAATACACGTACCGTAATGTTTTATTAATTAGACGCGAATCAAGTTAAAAGCTGATAATCCCCCCCCCCCCCCCCCTCCAACACATACACACACGTGATAATTATTACAGAACAATTAACACGGGATCAAGAAAAGCAAACTGTGCAATTTGAAAATGTTGTAGTTGTAGTTTTACAATAAAATGTAAATCATACAATAATTACACACACATGTAAAATTTTTAAGCACACACATGGGGAACACATCCCAACTAGACGGGCATATTAGACGGGCATAGATTTGCGCATGGCGAAACAAACTAAAAAGATTTAAGAAAAGGACACAGATTTGAGGCCGTATATTTGTTAACGGACATAGATTTGCGAATGACGTCATGATTGAAAATAAATTTGAAAATAGGACACAGATTTGAGGCCGTATCTTTTTTTAACGGACATGGATTAGCGATTGACGTCACGATGGGGCACAGATTTGAGAAACGGACACAGATTTGAGGCCGTACACAGATCTGAGGTTTACATATATATGTTCCTTTTATTGTTCTATTGCATAGGCACTTGTCTCTGAAAACAAATCATGTATTATATAAAGGTATATAGGAATTTTTTTTCAGAGACAAGTGCCTGTGTTTCCTTGATACCTTCAATTTTTTGATGTCATATAGTACCTGAACTATAAATCCCGAAAACTATCTTTATAATCGTTCAGGCAATATACGTTGGGAATTATCCAATTTTTTATAAATCTTTAAAAAATAATTAATAAAAAAAACTAAATTCCTAATGAGCTACCTAGCTTATGTTATAGGCTATCCCGCCCAGAACTCAGACTCTTGTCAATTACCTTCATTTTCACTTCTTAAGATTTTTTCATTAAGGACATTTAGACAAGCCTTCGTGGTTTCGTGCATTGTTTAACCTTTATGGGACGTAATCGTAAAGTATTTCAATATAATTCTTGAATTGTCGCTTCATATATGTCTATTTAATGATAACACAATTATTAAAAAAAAAAAAGAAGAACTGTACAATGTTTGATAAATTTTAGGTATCAAAATGCAGAAAGTGTAACAAAAAATATGATCCAGTTCCACGGGAATTCGAATGGGGATGGGCATCTTATGACTGTAAATGTGGCCATGAGTTTAGGTAAGCAATGGTTATTAGTAAGGCATCGACGATTCATCTTTTGTAGGTCATGGGTTTTTATATGTGGACAGACATATTATCCGCTTTATTCAAAGCAAACCTTTTTTCAATAACAAACAGGAACAAGAATTATTATTGAAACTCTATTGAGTTTATTCCCATAATTTTCAATGGAAATCAAACTATTTTGTTCATTTTGCTTCTAAAAATAAATTATCTTTTTCAAGAAAGGAGTTGGCCCAGTAAGATCCCTTTTTGGCCCCAAAATATAGCAGTTTTACAAAATTGTTAAAATGTAAATATTTAGCTATTTATTGGAAAGAAGAATACTTCTGTTACATAAATATGGGCTGTTTTTGACAATACAATGCACATGTATCGGGTACTAGCATCATTAAGTCATGCTAAATTACTAAAATCTTCGAAATTTTAGCATTTTGGTTAATTTTTAGACGGTTTCCGTATGAAATGGAAGTGGCCGCATTTGTGTTCATTCTTAATATTTAAATGTAAGTTGTATTTGATGATAATACATAACATATATAAAGGTTGAGAATGAACACGGATGCGGCCACTTTCATTTTTGACAATAACCATCTGAAAAGTGACATATTATGGCATATTTGATAGATTTTTCATATTTAAGCTTGAATTTGAGCGTCTTTGATGACTAAATCAGTTCAAATCTTTCACATAAACTAATTGAATCGACTGAAGTAGACACTTCAGTGTTTAAAAAGTGTCCAAAATCTTTCATCAGATGAACTTGAATTTTGAGGCCAAAATCGGCCCTTACCGGACCTACTCCTTTAGTATCAAACAATTTATTGAAAAATTCATCCCCCACTCCACAGACAAATAAATAATCGGTATCATATATGTTTTAAAAAAGAACTTAACGTAAGCATTTCAGATGTGAGTAGCTCGTCGGTAAAGTAGCAAATTTACCACTTAAAATAAACCTACTCCTTCACAAAATATGTACGTGAAGAGGTAACGGTATGGTGTTAAGTGATTGTGAAACACCAGAATCCTTAAAATGATTTAGAAAAAAAGTCCACAAAACACTACCTAGAAAACTAAGTAACACTAACCCCACCAAAAGCTAGGGGTGAAATTCTAGTTTTTGCTCTATATGTAGGACCCGTCGTGTTGTACACACAACTCTTAAAAAGTCTCGATATATTATAACCGAATAAAACAAACACGGACAAATGAATATAAGACTTCGGCTTTGAACGTTCTTGATGAAGGTAAATCCAGAAAAGCGCTTCGGACGCATGTGAGAAATTTATAACGTGTTGTTTTCATTTTTTTCAAAAATCATGTAACACATGTAGATCTAATAGCGATCTAATTGGACAAGCATATAAAGCTCAGAAAAATAAATAAAAAAAAGTTTTTACCAATCTAATTAAAATATAGATCTCGGATTTCGTTATACTACGTTATACTACATACGAACATACTTCGTATGTAGTATAACGTAGTATAACGAAATCCGAGATCTATATTTTAGTATAACGTAGTATAACGAAATCCGAGATCTATATTTTAATTAGATTGAAGTTTTTACATTCTTATTTATAAATGACATCAATCTTAACTGCTAAATATGAGGTTTACGATGGTAGATTAAGATAACTTTTATCATATGTTTTGAATCATGTCGTTCGTCTCTCTTGAATCTCCTTAGGTTTGCAAATTTATAACGAGAAGCTTAGCTTAATATAACTATAACAAAATAGTAAATAAAGTATCAGTCTAAACCACATAAGTTGTGTGTGGGGAAGGTCAATTACATATAATAACCAGAATTCCATTACTAGGTCCTAGTTCATGTTCATGTTAGTTGTTTGTTGACGGTTTTAGTCTATCGTCCTTATGACAATGTTCATGTTAGTTGTTTGTTGACGGGTTTAGTCTCTCCTCCTAGCAATGGACCTTTGAAGTAATATATAGGTGCAACACAGAAAGATTTCAAATTAACATATACAAACATCCAACCACGACATGAAATCAATATTGAAAAGTACTATTGTGAAAAAAAAATGCTTTTTGAGATGATGTCCAGGTCAATGAATAAACTCTTCATAGATACCAAGATTAAAAATGTTGTACACAAGAAGCGCGTTTCGTCTACAAAGGACTCATCAGTGACGCTCGAATCAAAAAAGTAAAAAAGGCCACATAGAGTACGAAGTTGAAGAACATTGAGCCAAATAAAGCTAAGGTATTATATACCTGGGGTAGAAAATCCTTTGTATTTCAAAAAAATCAAAATTTTGTGAACATTTAATTCATAATTATGACCATATCATATAAGATTGATAGGATCGCACGAACAGAACACAACCTTACGTACAAAAACAATGATTTATGGCATTAAGATAATTAAAATGTTCAATTTAATATCAGAGCAATGTAATGGTTCAAATTGTTTAAATCCTTTTTTTTTATTTTACTTTTTTAGTGGTGCAGGGCAAAAGAACACTAGTGCACCTTGCTATAAATGTGAAAGATCAGTTGATCCAACGGGAATAAAGCCGTTTTGGAGACGTCGTGGAAGGAAATCTGACAACCAGCATTGCTGTGACGCACCAGATTGCACTGGACATGATCCAGTACGTATTCATGATGTTGACCCAGATAGAATATACGATGATGGTACTGATAACAGCAGACCTGTAAAGTTCTCCCGGCCAGTGGAACTTGACGATGTGACGGGACAAGTAGAAAATCTTCACGTTAGAAATGAGTCTGTTCGAAATGTTAATTTACAGCGTAACCCCATCACGCCAAGAAGACAAAGTGGTATGATATTATGAATTTTTCCCTTATTATTCTCTTTTTGTATTTTTTAGACATAAAAATAAAACTAAATAGATAAAACAAGCTGGAGAAATTCGTATTAAAAGGGCAAAACTTATAAATAAAAGGAGATTTGAGGTGCACGCCAATAAGAGAGCAAGCAAACAACACAAATAAGCAAATGACATAGATGTCAACACTTATTCTTCAACAGAAGACAGGAGGAGTCTATACAATATGCCAAGCTCTAAACACCCAGTCTACGAAAGTTCTAAATTAATAATTGTAAATTAACATATTATTTTGTTTTTGTTTAATCATGATCTCTACCCAATTCTCACTTTTATGTCTATTTTTCGTCCAAATACTCGTGTCTCTTCTTTTTCAAGTCCTTCATTTTCAATTGTTTTCGTGCAATCTTAGTCTCTCCTCCTATTGACATACCCGGTAGTTCCTATTAGTTGTTTGTTGACGGTTTAAGTCGCTTCTCCTATTGACAATGTTCCTTTTATTTGATTGTTGACGGTTCAAGTTTATCCTCCTATTTACAATGTTCCCGTTAGTTGTTTCTTGACGGTTTAAGTCTATCCTCCTTATGACAATGTTCCTGTTAGTTGTTTGTTGACGGGTTTAGTCTCTCCTCCTATTGACAATGTTCCTGTTATTTGTTTCGTCGACAATTTTAGTCCCTCCTCCTATTGCATAGTTCCTGTTAGTTGTTTATTGACGATTTTAGTCTCTCTCCTATTGACAATGTTCATGTTAGTTGTTTGTTGACGGTTTTAGTCTATCGTCCTTATGACAATGTTCATGTTAGTTGTTTGTTGACGGTTTTAGTCCCTCCTCCTATTGACAATGTTCATGTTAGTTGTTTGTTGACGGTTTTAGTCTCTCCTCCTATTGACAATGTTCATGTTAGTTGTTTGTTGACGGTTTTAGTCTATCCTCCTTATGACAATTTTCATGTTAGTTATTTTGTTGACGGTTTTAGTCCATCCTCCTATTGACAATGTTCATGTTAGTTGTTTGTTGACGGTTTTAGTCTCTCCTATTGACAATGTTCATGTTAGTTGTTTGTTGACGGTTTTAGTCTATCCTCCTTATGACAATGTTCATGTTAGTTGTTTGTTGACGGTTTTAGTTCCTCCTCCTATTGACAATGTTCATGTTAGTTGTTTGTTGACGGTTTTAGTCTATCCTCCTTATGACAATTTTCATGTTAGTTGTTTGTTGACGGTTTTAGTCTCTCCTCCTATTGACAATGTTCATGTTAGTTGTTTGTTGACGGTTTAAGTCGCTTCTCCTATTGACAATGTTCCTTTTATTTGATTGTTGACGGTTCAAGTTTATCCTCCTATTTACAATGTTCCCGTTAGTTGTTTCTTGACGGTTTAAGTCTATCCTCCTTATGACAATGTTCCTGTTAGTTGTTTGTTGACGGGTTTAGTCTCTCCTCCTATTGACAATGTTCCTGTTATTTGTTTCGTCGACAATTTTAGTCCCTCCTCCTATTGCATAGTTCCTGTTAGTTGTTTATTGACGATTTTAGTCTCTCTCCTATTGACAATGTTCATGTTAGTTGTTTGTTGACGGTTTTAGTCTATCGTCCTTATGACAATGTTCATGTTAGTTGTTTGTTGACGGTTTTAGTCTATCGTCCTTATGACAATGTTCATGTTAGTTGTTTGTTGACGGTTTTAGTCCCTCCTCCTATTGACAATGTTCATGTTAGTTGTTTGTTGACGGTTTTAGTCTCTCCTCCTATTGACAATGTTCATGTTAGTTGTTTATTGACAGTTTTAGTCTATCGTCCTTATGACAATGTTCATGTTAGTTGTTTGTTGACGGTTTTAGTCTATCCTCCTTATGACAATGTTCATGTTAGTTGTTTGTTGACGGTTTTAGTCTATCGTCCTGATGACAATGTTCATGTTAGTTGTTTGTTGACGGTTTTAGTCTATCGTCCTTATGACAATGTTCATGTTAGTTGTTTGTTGACGGTTTTAGTCTATCGTCCTTATGACAATGTTCATGTTAGTTGTTTGTTGACGGTTTTAGTCTATCCTCCTTATGACAATGTTCATGTTAGTTGTTTGTTGACGGTTTTAGTCTATCCTCCTTATGACAATGTTCATGTTAGTTGTTTGTTGTCGGTTTTAGTCTATCGTCCTTATGACAATGTTCATGTTAGTTGATTGTTGACGGTTTTAGTCTATCGTCCTTATGACAATGTTCATGTTAGTTGTTTGTTGACGGTTTTAGTCTATCCTCCTTATGACAATTTTCATGTTAGTTGTTTGTTGACGGTTTTAGTCTATCGTCCTTATGACAATGTTCATGTTAGTTGTTTGTTGACGGTTTTAGTCTATCCTCCTTATGACAATTTTCATGTTAGTTGTTTGTTGACGGGTTTAGTCTCTCCTCCTATTGACAATGTTCATGTTAGTTGTTTGTTGACGGTTTTAGTCTATCGTCCTTATGACAATGTTCATGTTAGTTGTTTGTTGACGGGTTTAGTCTCTCCTCCTATTGACAATGTTCATGTTAGTTGTTTGTTGACGGTTTTAGTCTATCGTCCTTATGACAATGTTCATGTTAGTTGTTTGTTGACGGTTTTAGTCTATCCTCCTTATGACAATTTTCATGTTAGTTGTTTGTTGACGGTTTTAGTCTATCGTCCTTATGAAAATGTGCATGTTAGTTGTTTGTTGACGGTTTTAGTCCCTCCTCCTATTGACAATGTTCATGTTAGTTGTTTGTTGACGGTTTTAGTCTCTCCTCCTATTGACAATGTTCATGTTAGTTGTTTGTTGACGGTTTTAGTCTATCCTCCTTATGACAATTTTCATGTTAGTTGTTTGTTGACGGGTTTAGTCTCTCCTCCTATTGACAATGTTCATGTTAGTTGTTTGTTGACGGTTTTAGTCTATCCTCCTTATGACAATTTTCATGTTAGTTGTTTGTTGACGGGTTTAGTCTCTCCTCCTATTGACAATGTTCATGTTAGTTGTTTGTTGACGGTTTTAGTCTATCGTCCTTATGACAATGTTCATGTTAGTTGTTTGTTGACGGGTTTAGTCTCTCCTCCTATTGACAATGTTCATGTTAGTTGTTTGTTGACGGTTTTAGTCTATCGTCCTTATGACAATGTTCATGTTAGTTGTTTGTTGACGGTTTTAGTCTATCCTCCTTATGACAATTTTCATGTTAGTTGATTGTTGACGGTTTTAGTCTATCGTCCTTATGAAAATGTTCATGTTAGTTGTTTGTTGACGGTTTTAGTCCCTCCTCCTATTGACAATGTTCATGTTAGTTGTTTGTTGACGGTTTTAGTCTCTCCTCCTTATGACAATTTTCATGTTAGTTGTTTGTTGACGGTTTTAGTCTATCGTCCTTATGACAATGTTCATGTTAGTTGTTTGTTGACGGTTTTAGTCTATCGTCCTTATGACAATGTTCATGTTAGTTGTTTGTTGACGGTTTTAGTCTATCGTCCTTATGACAATGTTCATGTTAGTTGTTTGTTGACGGTTTTAGTCTATCGTCCTTATGACAATGTTCATGTTAGTTGTTTGTTGACGGTTTTAGTCTATCGTCCTTATGACAATGTTCATGTTAGTTGTTTGTTGACGGTTTTAGTCTATCCTCCTTATGACAATGTTCATGTTAGTTGTTTGTTGTCGGTTTTAGTCTATCGTCCTTATGACAATGTTCATGTTAGTTGTTTGTTGACGGTTTTAGTCTATCGTCCTTATGACAATGTTCATGTTAGTTGTTTGTTGACGGTTTTAGTCTATCGTCCTTATGACAATGTTCATGTTAGTTGTTTGTTGTCGGTTTTAGTCTATCCTCCTTATGACAATGTTCATGTTAGTTGTTTGTTGTCGGTTTTAGTCTATCCTCCTTATGACAATGTTCATGTTAGTTGTTTGTTTTGAAACTATTCTTGTCGGTTCAATGTAATCTTAATAATTTTCTTGTACATTTAAGGTATTTAGCTTGTTCACAGTCATGTCTCTCTACTTCAGGACATACACAGTTTTATTTTTTTTTGGGGGGGGGGGGAGGGGGAGTCACGAGTTGTTTTCTGACCATTATCGCTCACAACCTTGCCTCTCCGTCTTTTCACCAATTTTCTGTTTGTTTTAAGTCCACTTCATCTTTTTCCCTTTGACCGCCCTGTCTCCTCTTTTTCTTATACCGTTTCATGTTGTTGTTTTTGGTGTCATTACTTTTTTCTATATACAGATTTCTTTGGTAATCGTTCAGGATTTTGTATGGTTCCGTTGGATATTTTCATTTTCGTTTTAAGATTGAAGAAAATACAGTAAATGTCTACGTTTTATCAGTGCAAAAAACATTTTACAAAAAAAAATGTCATACATTTTATTGAATAGTTAATCAGGAGGAGTACACACTTTTTACTGGAATTTTGGGATATCTGTTGAAATAGCGAAGAGCAAAGGTATAATATTTAGTTTATTCACCACAAACTTGTTCCAAAATGAATTTTTTATTGTATTTCAGGAATCAGTACATGTGTGAGTCCTGAATCTAGAGTAAACAAAAAGAAAGTGGTTTATCCAAGTGAACCCCACATAAGTACGGGATCAACCATAGCTACATTCCTTTCTCAGAGTGAGATAGCATCATCATATTTTCCTAGCCTGGCTTCAATTCCAGAACATCAAGGCCGAGGTGGTCGTGGTCGTGGTCGTGGAGGGCGAAGATATTAATTTTGCTTAATCATATTTAATATTTATTGGTTTCAAATACAGTCAACTAATAGTTTTAATTGAAAATACTAGTACAAAGCATTATGTTATTGATTTTTTAATTCAGCATTTCTTCATTTCTCATTATCTCTGTTAAGTGTCTTAATTTCATTTCCGCAGCATGTAATGATATAATTTTGATAAAATATTCAATACATCACAAATGGCTCGTTTATGTTTTCATTTTGTGATGTTTTGATTTTTACTGCCAGTTCATTTTGAGTTGTCATTGTATTGTCCACCATTTTATTTTGGGGTGTCATGACCTTACATTGTCTATGTTTTAAACTCTCGTGTCTTGTGTTGTCGGTCAGTTTATGTTGTGTTGTCAGGGGGTTGAATTATTTAATTTTCACCTGCTTCATAGTCGTTTATTGTCTTCTACTGAGATCATTGGCAACACCACGTTGATTAAACATTTGTATAACAATGGGTCTAAAAAGGGTTTAATTGCCAAAAAAATAAGAGAAATAGAGACTTCGGTCTTAATTATTTTGTTATATAGTTTAATAAGACCTGTCAATGAATTTTATCGTCCGCAAATGCTAATTTTTAGATATTGCTGTCATGTATTAACTGTCTATCAGCTCATACTGAGGTGTCCTAGAATTACAAGCTAAACGCCAATGATGTTTCCCAGCTGACATGGTCTAGTATGTGTCCGACAGTTTATGTAGAGGTAATTCATATTTACCTGTAAATGTATTTTGAACTGTTTATGCCTTGTTTTGTCACTCAATTTATTTTGAGGTTCCCCGAATTTGCTCGTCAGTGCATTTTTAGCTGTCATGGTCTTGTAAATGCCCCCTCGTTTCAAAGTAAGATAATGCGGATTCAAAAGAGTGGCGAAAGATACCAAAGGGACATTCAAACTCATAGGTTGAAAATAAACTGACAACGCCATGGCTAAAAAAAGAAAAAAACCAACAGGCAAACAACAGTATACAAAACACAACATAGAAAACTAAAGACAGAGCAACACGAACCCCACCAAAAACTGGGGTGATCTCAGGTGCTTCGGAAAGGTAAGCAGATCCTGCTTCACATGTGGCACCCGTCGTGTTGCTCATGTTAGTACAAACCCGGTTATAAGTCTAATTCAGTAGGTCACATTTGGAGAAAAGGGGACGTGATTGTAGTTACGACAATTTGGAACATATCCTCAACCAACCAACCAACTCGTGATGGCGTCCGTAAAATTTACAAAGGAATGATTTCAACTTCACCACTTGGAACTCTTGGTTTGATAGCTTCCTTGTGATCAGCAACCCTCTATCAAGGAAATCATGATGGGAAATACAAGCCCTGGAATATTGTATCAACTGGAAGATATATACTCCGTATGCAGGCGCTGCTGAAATGTTGCTACATAGAAATGGAAAGTTTACAATTGGGGAGTTGAAATCATCTCTTTTGTCGTAAAGTTTTGTATTCAACCGACCCTCATTGTCAATTTCTAGATGTAAGTCAAGATATGAGGCAGACTTAACTGTATCTGTTGTATCCTTTATCTAAAGTTTGATGGGATAGATGCGTTCATCATAGTCACCAAATTTTGAATTGTTTTGTGAGAGAACATCATCTATATAACGGAAAGTAAAGTTAAAGGATACTGCTAACTTCTTTTTTTTTCTTCCTAAGGTGTTCCTGTATGAAGTCAATGTTTTTTGTTATGTCCTGGTCTAGTACTGTGCGATGGATTTCTTTTTCTGTATTATTTCAACTTGACAGTTTTGATTTTTGTTTAACCTTATACACTATTCTACCACATAATCTGGTTATATATAAACTTGGAAAGCTAATTGAAAAGGATTTTTATAATCGTGTTTTGGATGTATCTGTTGTAACAATAAACGATCGTTTTGGTTATAAAGGATAAATAATAATTGTGCTGGACATTATCTATTGAGTCTTTAAATTTCATGCTTTGCTCGACAATATATTTTTTATTCTTTATCACTAGATTATAAAGTGTCAAATTATCAGAATTCCAACGGATGCTAACTGTGCACCTATAATTTCAGATGTTTTTCTTTGCCTTAGTGAATCGTTTTTCGTGGAAAAACTTCAGAAAGGGAAAATGAAAAATTATGACAAACTAATCGACATTTTTAACAGTAATAGTAGGTAATAACTGTGGTACTTTCTGTTGGAAACTCAGTTTGTAAAACATGCTAAATGCATGTATTGAAGAAAATAATAAAGCTGATCGTAACAGTCAATACAGTTATTTTGTATACGTAACTTTATTGGTACAAAATGAAAAAAAAACTGAAATTGAAATATGAGACAAGTTTAACTTTACCATCATTAGTTTCCTTCTTTTGACAGCGAGCGATATTCCTCCAGACTAATTCTATGGCTTGTACATTTCACAACTAGTACGGTTTATTAGAAATGTGTTCCAATGAATCTGACATTTACGGACGTAAATAAAGGCGACAGTAGTTAACCGGTGTTCAAATCTCATAAATTGATTAAAAAGAGACAAATATGTTAACAAACAGAAACTGAAGGAATCGCAGGAACTTAAAAAGGAGCGAGACTAGTTGCAACGACAGGTTATGCATCATCCAACATGCGAGTTTACACTCAAATTGCCACAATGTATACTTGATTGGCGCAGTCTCGTTTTCAGGGTTAAAAATACCACAAAGTTTTGAATGCCTTAAAAACAGTTTACAGTCGTTATCAGCATCTAATTTATGAATATAATGTTCCTCGTAAAAAGAAACATTTGACTATTGTTCACCATACCTTTTAGTGCAATGTCGTTGTACTAAAATACTGAGAAAATATATATTTAATCTCGGGAACTTTCTTACATATTACGACATCATTCTTGCTAATTCAGTTTCTTTATCCAAATAACATAGGGAAAACAACATTTGAACGATACTGTCAACATATGTAACGGATTTCAGCATGCAAGGACGCCCAAAGACAAAAGTTCGAAAAGCTAGATACATGTATATATTATTTGGATATCAAATCCAACCAACAAGGACAAACAGAACATTCAAGATCGCAATAAGATCAAACTAGACCAACCGGGTATGGTCATTCTATTCCAAGGAAGTTGATTAGGATTACGGAATAATGAGTGCAAGAATATCATCGATATACAGAAGTGAAATGTATACCCCAAAAATGATTAATTTCCTCGAGATCTTGTCTTCAAGAAAGTTTTGAATAATCTCTACTTCATATACAGATTGGCTAGAAGAACACACAACTAGTACCTTAAATCATCGAATGTTTGTTGATATATCAATCTTTCAATTCCAACAAATAGTTTGTCAATATTTCATTTCACTTTGAATTATTATATTTTATTCAAAGAAAAATCTTCCCGATTTCGGACAAAATTGTATGGTAAAGACTGATTCTAAAGAGGAGATCCTGAACAATCAAAGGGCTGTTTATGTTCCTTTGAAATTGCAACAAATGTTGGAGAACTGGGTCTTCCTTCACTCTATTGATACCAAAATTATACGTGTACTTACATATAACGTTATATTGCAAGGTCTGCCAAGTGATCAACGAGACCTCTTTCCAAATTAGTAACATCTATTCTATCAACAGGGCTTCAAGGTAACTACGAAACTACCTACTTATTGGGTGTGTGAATCAATTGTGAATACTTTACCGTTCAACAAATATGTTATAAAACTTACAAAACCAAAAACCATCTCTTTTTAATACTATTTCTTTATTCTCAACTTAAAAATAATGTGAAAGAAAACAGAATGGACAACGCAGATACAAATATCAAGTTTTATGAAAGGACAAATGATGCTCTGAAGCAAAAACCACTCTAATTTGAGCAGAAGTTCAATGGACCTGACATCTTCAAACTCTCTCTTTTTTACAACATATTTCTTACATTTGGAGAATGTGTTTTTCAACAGACAATCTGCATGCCTATGGGAACTAACTATATATGTTCCCCTCCTTGCAGACTTGAACCTTTATTCTTATTAGGCATGCTTGATACAGAAGCTTTCACTAAATAATTCAAAAGCTTGGTGACTGTGTTGACCGTGATAAACTTGAAATATAGGATACAACATGTACAGCTATGTATTACTCATATCTAAACTTGCATCTAGAAGTTGACATTTTTGGGTCGGTTTAGAATTAAAATTTACGACATAAGAGATTATTTTAGTTTTCCCATCGAACTTTCCATTTCTATGTAGCACAATCCAGTAGGGCCTCTATATTGGATTCACATCTCCCATTTTATACGACATCCCGGAGCTTGAGTTCATTGATAAGGATTTACTGATCACAACAAATAGGGCTCCAAGTGATAAAGGTGAAATCATCCCTTCGAAAGTTTTACGGACGCAGTCATGTTTCGTTGACCGTTATGGAATATCGGTGTCACAGATGACCACGAAAATGGTATGTTTCACTTGTTGTTATTACACCCGACATCTTTTCCTCCATAATGATATTATGGAGGCACCTGTGGAGCAGGCATTGCTTAATTTTCATTCAAGAGCACCTGGGTTTTTGTTGGGTTCGTGTTGTTCAATCTTTATTTTTTTTGTTATGGTTTGTTAATGTTGTTTGTCTTCTTGTCGTTTTTATATTTAGACATGGTGTTGTCTGTTTTATTTGACTATTAATTTTCGATTACACCCTTGGTATCTTCCCTCTATTTTTGTTTATTTCTAGCTTTACCATTCTTAAATGCCGGAGGTAGAGTCCATGTCGTCACAATGTCTTTGACTGTAATGAGGAAAAAATTATGGGTTAGTAGATCATCTAAATGTTCCCGTTCTTAAAAAGTATTCCGGGTTAAGTTATGTATCTCATATATGCCCGAAGTTTCTGTCTTTGATATGAAAGATTTCCAGATAACGAGTCGTTCCAAATAATGAATCTATGTATAAAACAAAAATATCAGAGGGTCTGTATTTGTAAGCTCTAATCGCCTGAGAACAAACAAGGTGTGAATGAATTTAAGATACGACCATAGATCTGCCATCACCACCAAATACCTCTGCTATAGTATACGTCTCTATATACTTCCACGTTGGTTGCTTACGGCAACGTAATTACAGTACAACGTGCGGACAATAGTACCATGCCTGATGAAACTATAAAAAGCAGCAATAAGAATAAGAAGACAACGACGACGCCAACAATGACGATGACTATTATAACGACGCAATAAGACCAAGATGTCAATATGAGAATAATACATGCAGTGGCAGGAGAAGACCCTCATTTCTTTGGACTAACACTTTGATAAAATACTTTTTACAACAATACTATTCATAACAGAGAAGACAACTGAATATTTTGCCCTGGAGTAGGTTTGGGAAATTAAAAAACTCAAATGAAACATGCGGTATATGATTTAAAAATTATTTTAAACAGGAACAAACAATACATGATTTTTTTTTATTATTGTTATCACTTATAGTATTTGAATGTATTCTTTTAACAAGAGTTTTTTCACCACCTTGTCGTCTCCTTATGCCACTTCTTCTTCCTCTATCGTCTCCCTCCTCTACCACTCCTTCCGTTTCGTCCACTTCCTCCTCCTCTAAACCCATGTTGACCTCTTTCCTCTCTTATTGATGACAGTGAAGGTACATAGGTTGATGCTATGTCATCCTGTGGTAGAAATGTTGCCACAGTAGAGCCAGTACTTAGGTGACGTGGGCTTGAGTGTATCACTCTCTTTTTATTCATTCTTGTTTCGGGTGAAAGACATTTGAATTCTGTAATCATAATTAAAAAAAATATTCTTATTGATTCGGTTTTTACTTTAACAGCTTTCTAATTTTTTATTTTATTTTTGTAAAAATTGGAATAAACACTGAATCAGAAAGAAATTAAATGTCCTTGTACATTTGTTACCTTTACTGTTTAGTCCATTATTGGCAAATTAAATATACTTTTGGCGTGGCGGCGTGGCTCGGTACTTATACATCTCGCCATTGTGACACTGTGCTATGGTCAATTTTGTATGCTTGTCTTTATTTTATGCTTATGCACTTTGTCTATAGTGTCTATATACAATTTTGTTTTTCTTTCTTGAAATAGTTATTTGTTTTTAGTGATTAGGATTACATTGCAATGGTGACTGCTGTACCCCAATTTTTTACATTTTTACCAGTTATATCAGGTTTGTTTTGCTCAAACATTGTTGTCAATATAATGGAATTCTATGCGACTGTCATACATGTGAGAGGTTTAGCGAGCTATAAAACCAGGTTTAATCCACCATTTTCTACATTAGGAAATGCCTGTACCAAGTCAGGAATATGACAGTTGTTTTCCTTTCGTTTGATGTGTCTGAGCTTTTGATTTTGCCATTTTATAAAGGACTTTCCGTCTTGAATTTTCCGTGGAATTGGGTTTTTTTGTTTATTTTACTTTTTCCATTGAGTACATATTTTAGCTAAATATTCGTCTCCATATTTGCAATCATTTGGTTTCAGTCGTTCTATGACTTTTCAGATCACACATAAAACATACGGATACAATGCATATAAATCATAGTTTAAATAAATTCAATCAAGATAATTGTACTTAACGATAAAACAAACAAAACTTACTTTGTGGTTTTTGATTTACACCTGGGTTAGACCCTATCTTTAAGTTTTTAACTTCTCTAGCTATCCCAATACTGTTTTCTCCTCCAGCGGCAGTGCATAAATTGTCATCCTCCTGTTCATCATAAACCCTGTCTTCGTCAACTTCATGAATTGGAACATGACGTCTACTTGTACAATCTTCCGCTTCACAGCTATGCCCGCTACCTGATCTTCTATTGCGTTTATTACAACGTCCATGGATTATACATGTTGGATATCTAACATTATGCCAACAGTTATAACACCTGCATATTGTTACATTCATTTCTCCATGGGCACTGTAAGAAAATATAAAAATGACGATTGATTCTGATATTTTATTACCTAGGTCCTAAGACAGGTACGTACTATATCTAAAATAAATCTCCATATGTCTTTGATGCTAAATAAGGAATGTATTGTGTGGCTTTTCCAATGCTTTTCCAATAATAACATAAACGGTACCAATTTTTCTGCACCAGATGCGCCTTTTGACATTCAATATCTCTTCAGTGATCCTTGAGGCCAAAATATTTGAAAATCCAAAGCTTATTAGAAAGATGAAGAGCTATAAACCAAAAAGGACAAAAAAGTATAGCCAAAGCCGGGCAAGGAATCAGAGCTTTGCATGAGGGAGATGCATTCCTTCATTTTAAATAATTTCCAAAATTTTGTAACAACAAATTTTAATAACACAAAATCCGTATTTTACATGCCAGTACCGAAGTACTGGCTACTGGGCTGGTGATACCCTCGGGGACTATCAGTCCACCAGCAGAGGCATCGTCCAAGTGGTAGAAATAACATAAACGGTACCAATTTTTCTGCACCAGATGCGCATTTCGACAATCAATGTCTCTTCAGTGGTGCTTGAGGCCAAAATATGTGTCCTTAAGCCAGCATGCACAGTGTAGTGTTCTATCAACAATATTTATTGTTCAATTTGGATTACATGCATCTGGAGAAATGTTTGGAAAAGAAGTGATTTCCAAATTTCTTCTCGTAAGCTGGGACTTATACATAAATTTCGGACCTTTCTAGTAGTAATCAACATTAACATTGTCAGTGTCCCGCAGATAGTTATTCATTTATAACTTTCGATTTACACTATATAATTTTTTTTCTGTAAATTATGTTTGAAATGTGAATTATAATGATTTAATCGGATGTAATTTTCAAAACGCAGATGAAAAATCTATATGAAAAAAAAATGCAAGTGCGACCTTTTTATTTGTAAAATATGTGCTATAGCTGTAATTTATCAACAATTAGGAAAATGGTATATTAAACTGGTATAAAATCAGCAAAATGCAATAACAGTTATATATTTGTATGCCCTATCATATTGTCTTCATCAGAATAAGATATATGTTTATTCTAATACTGGAATTCCTTTTTTAAATGAAGAATGAATCTCCGTTTTAATAAAAAAAAAAGTCAGTAACTGTATTTTTGGAAAAATGCATATGTCGTTTGTTTTTTCTTGAAAACTTTAAAATCAAAAATAAAATAAAACAAATTGCACTATGCAACACTATGAAACATCCTATATCCAGTATAAAAATTATAAGTGATAAATTATCAAACAATAAGAAATAAAAAGGTTTAAAGAACACTTGCTTAGTCAAACGTATTTAACAACTACATGTTATTTATCAGCTGGCAATGTGAGTTCTGAATTTTAAGTCATTCATCAATCAATCAATGAAAGTGTGCAAAACTTGGTCTCTCTGTTGGTTGTAACAACAAACAATACGACCATTTATATTTACTATTTCGGTAGATTTTTCGTTTAAAAAATCGATTTTAGCAGAGACAAAGCAATATAAGTACCTAAATCTTTTTCCACAATTGTTGCAGTCAAACGCAGCCCAGCCCCATTCATTTTCTCTTGGTATCGGGTCATACTTCTGTTTGCATTTTCTACATTTAGAAACCTATGAAAAGGAAAATCAAGGCTATACAGTATTTTTTGCTATGGACTTCTTCGAAATTTATTGATTTCAAGTCTCTATTGTCTTCCACTTTGTATTAAAGTATGGTATAGATTATACCCATCAATGTGCTGATAGTTGCGAATCTTAAACTAGCTTCTTAAATTTGAAACAAATGATTGATATAGCCTTATATATTTTATAACAGGACATTGGGTACTGTTTTGAGTCAAAAACAGAAACCTAGTAATCCCTCTGAACAAACAGACTTTAATACACACATAGTAATTAATTTTATCTTTTTTTTCAGTTGAGGATAATTTTTCTAATTGAAGTAAACTAAAAGTTACCTGTTTTCGTATCGGAACACGCCACCACCAAACATTATCACATTGTTCACAAGCAAATTGTCGGACTGTTGACTTTACACCATCTTGTAAAGCTTCTATGACTTCGGGATCTGTTTTTAGTTCACTAATCACATCCTAGTATAAATGATAAGGTATAATAAGGTCATTTATTTTGCCCCTTGAATATGAAAATTAGTAAGGTATTATAAATCTACCCAGTAAGATCCTGCAGAATGATGTTGATAAGTCTATCAGATATAAGTATTTTTTATTTTTCCATTTCTGTGTTCTTTAGCAATAAAATTAACTTAATTTTAATATGTAGAAGAAGTTTACGATTTTGGTAATTTCAGGGGTCAAATAAATGTAAGGCTCTTGTGATACCTTAATTTTAATCTTATCTACCTTCCCACGATAGCTAATAAATCTTGGACTAATTAAAGTATGACGCTGTTGATGTTTGTTATCGTATATGTCTATAGACAGCAGGATAATCAATCGACGATTGATGTCAAACCTCTCTATAAAAAAGCGGGATAATCTCTCCAATGACCACGGGATAATCACACGGGGGATAATGTCATTTGTATTATAGATAAGCGTTGATTCTTGAAAAAGAAACAATGAGCCCTGAGGGCGAATGGTTTGTTTTTCAAATTCAAATTCTTTATTAACTTTGAGCATGCCCGGCTCATCAGTGTATTCAAATACAGTGTATGCATATTGCATATTACAAACAATATTAACAAGTATATGTAAGAGAATAATAATCCCTTTCTTCATGATTAAGTACGAGCGTTAGCAAAGGATTTCTATAAATGAGTTATAACTGCCTGAAGCACATTTATTAGGATTATTGATTGAAAGTTGAATTTTGAAACGAACAAAAATGATCAAAATAAGGATGTAAGGACTTACATTTAATTTTGGAAATTTTAATAAATTGTGTTTTAGACATTAAATGACACAACGTTACAATGAAAGTGTAGAAATTGTATAAGTATCCTAATTGTGCATATGAGTGTAAATTATGTAATATTTTAGTGAAGAATTATCTTTTTGTTCATTTACAGTTCAATTTAATAAATTCAAAATCAGAGTTACAACTAAATTGTATTCCACAGCCAATTTTAATCCAGCTCTTTACATTAAATACTACTTAATTAACTAAAATTTAAATGTTGAAAGAAATTGCTTTTTATAGGAAATTCAAAAGTAAATTCAATTTCCTGCATGTACCGGTATTTTGGAAATGACTATTCTTACTAACTGCGAATACAGTAATCTGAGTTTTAATAAGCGTAATACATGTAGCTAAAGATTAAGATTTTATTCAATTTTAAAAGTTTTTTTCTTTTCTTCTTGATATTGCGTATTTTTTTTGTAAATGAAAGTTCTAAATATTCACATAATAACACAAACGGTATCAATTGTACTGCACATGTAAACATCAAACTTATTTTGATCATTTTTGTTTGTTTCAAAATTCAACTTTCAATCAATAATCCTAATAAATGTGCTTCAGGTAGTGTAACTCATTTATAGAAATTCTTTGTTATGAACTGTAAATAGGCCTAAACAAAAAGATAAGTCCCTTACTAAGAACATGATTTACATTCATTTTTGACAATTAAGGAACACCAAATTCTACGCTTTCATTGGTCGAGACATCTTCGCTAGCCAAGGGTTACGATCCACTCCCCTCCTCTCCACCCTTGGCGGATTGAGATAGAATTTCGAAGACACAAGGTAATGATTTTCATTGGCTGCATCCAATCAAAAAGCACCTATAACATGATCATGTGTAAATGTAGAAAATGTAAGTAAACAATTACCACGTGCTGATTGTGCAACAAGTCTTTACATCCCTAAACATACGACGATATTTTGTGACAACTTAAATGTTTTTATTCAACTGTTAGAAGTTCCTGTGTGTGTTTCATGCACAAATGTTGGAATGTCAGGGTATATTTTCGTTTCCTGCTTCACCAAGTTTGTAGACACTAGGCGCTACCGTGTTTTCACTTCCACACTGAAGAGGGTTCAAGTGCTACCATTGGTCAAAAAATAATTTATTCGGAATGGGCGTGACTTTAATTAACGGTTTTTAGCGATAGACGGCGCAACATTGTTATCACAAATGTTGGCTCAATCTGCCAAGGGTGGAGAGGAGGGGAGTGGATCGTAACCCTTGGCTAGCGAAGATGTGGTCGAGAGCACTTTGCTATATTCTAATGTGTATAAATAACAATAGGTGACGACAGAAGTTTCATGAATCAACGCTTATCCATGGTGCCTCTTACTTAGATCATACTCACCCCTTCTCGACCAATGAAAAGTCAGTTTTTTCCCTTCTAATGTTCATATTACATGGCTTCCCATGCACTATAAAATGCTATACATGAATGACTTTTCATTGTAGATTAATTATGAAAGTGAACTCTTAATAACTTCACTAACGAAGTGTACAATCCCCTGAGGCATTTTCCTTGGGAAAATAGCCTACTGATTAAAGATGAAAGGGAAAAGAATTCTAAAAATTCATTTTGAACATTGCAAATTTTATATTATTAAGTCTAGGTTAGTCTATGAAAAGGTATATACTATGAAATTTAGAGCGAGGGGCTTGCCCCGAGCTCTTAATTTCATAGTATATACCTTTTCATAGACTATCCAATTTAGCACATATTTACAACTCGAATAATCTTTTAATTGGTCTATTGATAGTTTATTTTGGCTGACTACTTGTATCACAGGTGTTTGTAAAACGGAGCTCATTAACGAAATTTTGTAAATCTACTCACTAGTATCATTGTAAAATATGTGATTTCAAAAGGCCCTTGACTCCAGAATGAAAAGATGGTAGCTGCTGGTGTACGTATGTTTATTGATATAAAGCGGTGTTTTACTATACATGTACTTCTTTACATGGTAAGATGACGAAATAAATTGAGCAAAAGCAGGCAATAATTAAATTGCAGTTGAAGCTTTACATGTCTTGAAAACAATTTTCAATTTCACCGGCAGTAAAACTAAAGCTATAATAAATTTGATACATATAGATAGTATGCAGTGGTGGATCCAAGGGGGGGTTCAGGGGGTTGCAAAACCCCCTTTTTTGGACGATCAATGCTTTTGAATGGGGATATATGGTTTGAAACACCCCTCCCCCTCCTTTATCCAAGGTTGAAACCCCCTTTTAAAAATGGCTGGATCAGCCCCTGGTATGTCCCAATAGATAGTCTAGCGGATAGTCATTAAAAAGCAACTACCAAAAGGGTTTATGTTTATTTTATTCATTTCAAAGTAAAAACTAAAAGATTTATAAGTTATATAGGTGGCACATTCTCTACAGACATTATCACGGTTTTTCAACTAATGACATCGTCCTGAAAATGCATGAAATATTTGCCACTGGACATTAAGCAACCAATAATCAATCAATCAATCAATTCATGACGAAATAGATCAAGTTGCCTTAATTTCCCTTCACAAGGTTTCATAGTACACACTTTTTGGTATACAAAGTAATGGCATGGATGATAAATTATCACAATTTTAAGATGGCATTGTACTCTAATCAAGGTATAAAGAACCATATGTGTTACTCTTTATTTAAATGAAAGAAACTTGCAATCGTCAAAAAGATTTTTTTAGATCCAAAGATTTTAATAGCGGGATATTTAAAAATCAATGTGAAAACTAATTACAAACTATTTAATTTGATTTAAAACACAACATTTTATTTCAAAATAGCCAGTGGCAATTTTTGTTTTAATATCTTGATTACGATACAATAAATAAATTTGGTGTATTTACTGTCTTCTGATTGGTTAAAAGTATTACCTTTATTTTCAATGTTGTCAATTTTTATGGCGACACGCCCACTCTGACGTTGTGTATTCATACGCCAACATGTGTGTACGTTGTTATTGTTAATATAAATAATATAAAAAGCTCTTTGAGCCTTATTTTTGATAGAAATTTATTTATAATGAATGGCTATTATTTATTTTGAATTTATTGAACCATAAAATTAATTTTATGGTTCAATAAATTCAAAATAAATAATAGCCATTCATTAAATGAAATTTTACCCTTGTGGTCATTCATGCGTAGTTACTTAGTATACACGGGAAAAGTATGTACTATGAAAATTAGAAGGCAAATTCAAGCAATTTGACTGGACGAGAAGTTGTAAGTATGTGCTAAATTGTTCAGACAATACTTGGTCATGTTTTATGAAGATTTAAAGCCCTCGGCTACGCCTTGGGCTTTAAATCTTCATAAAACATGACCAAGTATTGTCTAACCTATAATTAAACTATTGTGGTGGTGTCTTTTCTTAATTAGAAGGTATTGTGAGTGAGTTTTAATAACCTTGTTGTCATGTTCAACGGTGCATTAATAAATCAAAGTTCACAATTAATTGGTTAGAGAAATACACGTTTGTCTTTAAATTATTATGCATCTGAATATTATCCGTAATTTACAAAATAAGATATATTCGAACTTATTTCTAAGTATATATAATAAGTATGTTACCGAAATGTCTAGCAAGAAACCCAATTCTAGGCACATCACGATTTACTCGCATAAAACAGATAAAATCATACTATATTTATAAAACAAAAATGGACAAATTGAATGTAATCATTTTCTTTTCAAATACCTGAAACAGCCGATAATAATCCAAAAATAAACGGGAAAACCCGCTATTATTACAAAAATATTCACAATAACATACAAAATAAGAAAAACGTAAAAACTAAAGAATAGGGGAAACAAAGAGAAAACTGGGATTAAAACCTAAACCGAAAAGTCTCTACTTTTAAATTGACTCTATAACTCATTGATCTTAACCTCTCAGCTACCAACTTCACTGATACGCTTTTGTCTATTACTAGTATCATGTATCCATAAAGGTACCAGACCTGTGTGTCCGTTGTACCGATATGTATTATATATGTTCATTTATATATAAGTGTCGGTTAGTGTATGGAAAGGTATATACTATGAAATTTAGAGCGAGGGGCTTGCCCCGAGCTCTTAATTTCATAGTATATACCTTTCCATACACTATCCAATTTAGCACATATTTACAACTTGAGTAATCCTGTAATTAGTCTATTGATATGTTTTGGCTGACTAAGTGTAGCTCATTTACGTAGTTTTGTAAATCTACTCACTAGTATCATTGTAAAATATGTGATTTCAAAAGGCCCTTGACTCCAGAATGAAAAGATGGTAGCTGCTGGTGTAAGTATGTTTATTGATATAAAGCGGTGTTTTACGACACATGTACTTCTTTGCATGGTAAGATTACAAAATAAATTGACCAAAAAGCAGGCAGTAATTAAATTGCAGTGGAAGCTTTACATTCTTAAAAACATTTTTCTATTTCACATAAAAACTAAAACTATCATAAATTTTACACATATAGATAGTTTGCAGTGGCGGATCCAAAAAGGGGAAGGGAGTTCAAGGGGGGGGGGAGGGGGGGGTGGTGGTAGAAAACGCCTTTTTCGTGATGATCAATGGGTTGGAACCCCTTTTAAAAATACCTGGATCTGCCCCATAGGTAGTCTAGTGGACAGTTTACATGCATGAAATATTTGTCACTGGACATTAAGCAACCAATAATCAATCAATTCATGACGAAATAGATCAAATTGCTTTAATTTCCCTTCACAAAGTAATTGCATGGAAAATAAATGATTACAATTTTTAGATGGCGTTGTACTCTAATCAAGGTATAAAGAACCATATTTGTTACTTTTTATTTAAATGAAAGAAACTTTTAATCGTCAAAAACATTTTAAGATTCAAAGATTAATAAGTAGGATGTTTAAAAATCAATTTGAAAACTAATTACAAACTATTTAGTTTAATTTAGAACACAGCATTTATTTCAAAATAGCCAGTAGCAATTTTTGTTTTAATATCTTGATTACGATACAATGAAATCTTACACTTGTGGTCATTCATGCGTAGTTACTTAGTACACGGAAAAAGTATGTACTATGAAAATTAGAAGGCAAATTTAAGCAATTTGATTGGACGAGAAGTTGTAAGTATGTGCTAATATAAAATAGACATTTAAGTTTCATTCATTGGTAGCCGAGAGTTTTCGTCGATGTGTTGATATTAGTCACACATAACAGATTTGAAGGAGGGGTTCGATTCCAAGTGAAGGCATATACTAACTACAAAAGGAAAAGGTAAGTTTTTAAATTAATTTCATTAGTGAACAGAAATCAGTAAATTAGCCAATTCAAACTTAATGAAATTAGACACTCAGAGGAAACAATTGAATATAATTTGGTGTGTCCATTTCAGCGACAGATTTAGGAAGTGTTGATTCTATAATAGTTAACCCATGAGGACGCGGTGTGTCAGTGTAAGATCACCCCGATGGCCGGAGGTATACTACTGTTGCCTTTATTTGGTTTATCAGCTCTTCAACGTTTGTATAAGATTTTAAAATATTTTAGCCTCGAGCATCACTGAAGAGCCATTTATTATCGAAACGTGCATCTGGTGCAATAAAATGAGTACCGTTAATGTTATTACTACAATCGGGTCGAAACCTCTGCTGTTGGGCTGTTAGCCCCCGGTATCACAAGCCCAGTAGCCAGTACTTCGGTACTAAGTTTTTCTTGTTTACTTAGGTACTTGCATGAAAACTCGGGTGTTTATGCTGTTATGAAATTTTGACATCATTTTGAATTAAGGAATGTATCTCCCTCATGCATAGCTCTGATTCCTTGTCTAGATTTGGCAATACTTTTATCCTATTGGTTTTATCAGCTATTTAACGTTTGTACTAGATTTTGCAATTTCAAATATTTTGCCTCGAGCATCACTAAAGAGATATTGATTGTCAAAATACCCATCTGGTGAAATAAAGTTTGTACATTTAATGCTAGAAGAATGTCACGCGTGGGATCTATAATTACCTGCAGTACAAATAACTTTCAAAACTATTTTAATTTGCCCTTGTTAGGCATATTTCCCAATGTTTGCATGTTTCAGTTTAAATACAAACGTTGCGTTCACAGATGCTTAAAAGGGGAAAAGAAACCAAGCGAACAATAAAAAACAATAACTTTAAGAAGGACAGTTTACGCCATAACCAAAAGTAAACGGACGAACAGACAACAATCCGTAAAACACTCTGATACATAGAACACACCACATTGAGCAACACGTAACAACAAACAAATCGGGCGGGAACTCGTATGATATACGGAAGGATCAAGAGGAAAACTGATTGGTTGCTATACTTTCTTGTGGTCTTTTCTATTCATATAAAACATATATAAACCTAAATATGAATAAAATGAGGTACGAGTATAAGTAAATACAACGGCAAAGCAAACACAGAAACCCCACAAAAGAATTTAAGAATAAATAATACCTCAGACAAAGATGTTAATTTTCTAACTTCTTTTGCCTCATCTGCAAAATAGATAATATTCAATCATTCAAAAATATACAACACTGAAAACAAGAGCAGGACAAACTCCTGGAATATGAAACAATGATGTCATAATATTAAACCTGAAAAATTCATATATTCTGCTCTAGATGCAGATATTTTTCATATTCCGCAATGATGATAGTAAAACATCTGCTGGGAATGTCTGAACATTACATGAAGACTGAAAGAAGTGAAGAATTTGTATTTGAGAAATCTTAGTCATTATCCAAACTGGAAAATAAAATAAACAATTTTTACAATATACAACAATGAAGAGCAGGAATATATTCTTGTATTAAAATGTATTATAAAATATCAACTGCAAGTTATATATGGAGCTTTTTATGGAGATAATTGAATGAGCATACAAAAAAAACATGATCGTCAATTTAGAACAATAATAACTAATTCCATTTGCATATAAGTTGTTGTTATGACGAAGAGTTAACATTATTATGTTACATTATAGACCATAATACAACTTCTATGTAATAACCTATTTTATTAAAATCTAGATTGTTGCTTTATATATATCAAATCAAATATTTTTATAACAGTTTTTTAGTAGATCAACTTAATAACCCAATGGGCAATTTTCATTTGTATTTCAAAATATTATATCTTTAATTAATATGTCTACAAAAGTGACAAAAAGGGAACAACAAAAAATACCAAAATCCATCTTAACTCAACTTTGCCTTATATGAGGAAGTTGGTACCTTAGTTTCTAATAGTTTAGCAAGTATATAATGAATTTGGTTTATAAATATTTGACTGTACCTATTTAAACTCTCCTTAAATCTGAATAATTCATTAATTCATATGAAAAATCACAAAGAATACTATTATATTATAGTTACTTACTTCAAGTCTCAACACTTTAATTTTGTATTTGACTTAGATATAAAGTCCATGATAATTGAAAAAAAAACCTTAACGGGTCCGGTGCAACCCTGTGTCTTGCCTGCCATTGCTGTTGTCATAGTAAAATTGCAATATTGACTGCCAAAAAGTCAAGTTATCAGTAAATATGTAAACAAAAATTAAAAAAATTCTTCAGATGTTATTTCGTGATCATGAAGAAGTTTCTGTCCAATTTTCGTAACAATCCATGAAGGTTCAACAAAGTTATTGATGTAAAAAAAATTAAACACAAAATTGAATGTTAATTTTAACTGCAAAAGTTCATTTGGTCCATCTATGAAGTAAGATACTGAATAATGAACAAACAAACAAATTCAAAATGCTTCTATCAAAGTTTCGTAAAATTCCATGAAGGTTTGACAAGGTAATTGATTTTTCTAAAGAAAACAAGAGTCGGTGCACACGCTGAAATGTCTCGCCTGTTTTACTGACCATTGATTTTATGTTGAAAGTCTTTTACTAGGTTTTACTACAAGTATCACATAAACTTCACATTTTTAAAGATCCATGAAAATGAGGTCAAGGTCAGATAAAAACTGTCACACAGACATGTACACCCTACAATTATTCCATACACCAAATATAGTTGGCCCATTGCTTATGGTAATCGAAAACAGACCAAAACACAAAAACTTATTGTTAACCAATGAACCATGAAAATGAGGTCACGGTCAGATTATACTGACTAGACAGACATGTACACCTTATAATCATCCCATACACCAATTACAGTTGACCTATTATTATTCGTGTTTGAAAAACAGACCAAAACACAAAAAAAAAACTCAACATTGACCAATGAACCATGAAAATGAGGTGAAGGTCAGATGACATTAGCTAGACAGACATGTACATCTTACAATCATTCCTTAAACAAAATATAGTTGGCCCATTGCTTATAGTATCTGAAAACAGACCAAAACACAAAAACTTAATGTTAACCAATGAACCATGAAAATGTGGTCACGGTCAGATGATACTGACTAGACAGACATGTACACATTACAATCATTCCATAAACCACATATATTTGACCTGCTGCTTGTAGTATCTGAGAAACGGACCTAATCACGTAACGTTAACCTTGATCACTGATCCATGAATTGAGGTCGAGGTCTGGTTAACCCTGTCTGACGGACATGTAGACGTTGCAAGGAACCCATATACCAAATATAGTTATCCTATTACTCATTCAGCTCAGCTTTGGGCGCTGTGATTAGCAATAAAAATTATTCTATTCTATTCATAATAAGTGAGAAATTGACATGACAAAAAAACTGTACTTTATTTTAAGCAGTCGCTGAACCATGAAAATGAGATCATGGATAATGGGCATATGACAGACGGAAACTTTGTAACATAAGGTATCTGCATACAAGGTATGAAGCATCCAGGTCTTCTACTTTCTGAAATATAAAGCTTTATACAAATAGTTTACGCCGCCAGCGGATAGTAATACCTATGTCTCGCATACTGCGATGAAACAGGCGAGACAAAAATGAAACACAGACATAAATTAAATGCTGACGACGTCGACGCCGTCGCCGATGAAAACGATGACGGATGTAGGATCGCTGTGTCCCGCTTCCAAGACTTTAATCGCAAGCTCGACAAAAATGATAACATACTTTTAAGCACGAAGTTGACGGCAGCGTTCTTGTCCCAATTAAGATGTTCAAATATTCTTCTTGTGTCTTCTGCGTCAAATCTGCCATGAAAAATTTCCCGAAACTCACGAACCATGATCTGAAATACAATTATAAATCTTTGTTTTCGTATCTCTTTATACATAAAATGATATACAGATAATTTCTTCATTCTTTATATTAATACTAGACTAAGTCCGCAAAACGAGGAACAAGATTAGTTTTCTTTATTTCAGGTCTGGTGCATTTTATTTAAATTACGTATTAAAAAGCTTCATATCCGATTCAATAATTACGAGTCATGTTACGAAGTAAATGATTCATTTTTTTGTACTTTCGTTATCGCTTCGACGACTTAGAAGTGCGCCTATCTATACTGTTTATTATAAGTGGTTGAGTTACCTCTTTTTCCTCTTCAGATGCCATTTTGCTTGTGTGTTGATGCTCTTTGATCCCTATGACGTGACATGAACTATAAGTTATCTCGTTCAGGAAGGTAAATACATTTTTCGAAAATAACTCAAACGGCAGTATTGATTATCTGTTATAATTAACTAACCTGCATTATGTTATTGATATATTTCTTTCGACGTCTAGTAACCTTGTTTGCAGACATTCGATAAGTAATGTATACTGTTAATCAGAAATTGTACACCCCAACAGCAGTCTACATAGAAAGGGGTATGATATGAAAACTTCGTCTATTCTGCTAAAACCATTTTTGTAGTGTAGCTGCTTTCGTAAAAGTTTTACTTTTTCTCTTTGTTGATCTCTCAAACTTTTGTTTGTTAATCAGTATTGTAGCAGACTTTTGTCCCTTAGCTCTGTAACAGGTAAATATTCGGAAACATTGTATCAAACTTTCAGTTTCGAATACATTGGGACATTTCTTTACAAAAGAGCTTAAAATGCAAATGAACCAAGTTTTTGGAATATGACTCTTATTTTGCAGGAAATACAAATAATAACTTTAATAAAGTTGGCGGTTATAAATATATATAGAAAGCGCTTCTAACGATAATAAAACAATAAAGATCTTACTATTTACTATAGTTGTAATTTGATAACCTTTAAGATTTTATGTATTAAAAGGATCATTAATGTTGACATAAAGCTGGGTTTACAACCATCAAATTTACACTGCTTTATGTCATCCATATTTAGTTAGTGTTTGCAGAGAAATATACTAAGTAATACAATTATTATTATATTAAATGTTTTAGTTTAAACATATTGTACTTGCTAAATTAAAGCAAAATGGACGAGACACAAGTAAATCATACTTATGAAGGCTTCTCCATAACACAATTTAATATATTCAATAGTAATTTAACAGTTTTGTATCTAAAACAAAGTTTTCGGAAAGCCAATTAAGATTATTGAGTAAAGTTTTTTTTTAAATGAAGTGTATGTTAGACAAACGAAAAAGTATGTCTCTTGTGTTTATCAGTCTTTCTGCAGACAAATGTTTCAGTAAATCCCCAGTAGACACTTGGCAATGTTACAGCTCCTGGAAAGCGTCTACAAAAAATGAGATGTTAAGTTTGCTTGTTTGCTAGGTGGACCATGCATCACCATAGCCTTTGTTTTATTATCTATTCAAAATTACTAACCAATCAATTGAGTAACCGGTAACGAAAGGATGACTGAAAGCCTGTTTGGTCAGTTTGTTGTAAAATATTTACAAAAGCTTAATGAAGAATTCATGGTTCACCTAACAATCAAGCTCGACTTTGTATGCACGAAATTCACTCTCAAGTAGATCAATTGTAATTTCATTTTAATATTGGCATCCCTTAGTTAATGTCTGTTTACTCCTTTTTGTGTCCATTTGTTATTCTATCATATGTACTCTTATGTACTTCTCCATTTTACATAGAGCCTTTTTGATGAAAGTAATTCCAGAACTTAGTGAGTCGGTTTTAACTGTTTAACGTTTTTAAAAGAGAAGCTTTGTACAGCAGTAATCTAAACTATTTCACCCAATAATACTGCTGAGAAAAACAAAATGAATATCTTATTTGCTACCACACGAACCAAAGAAATGCAGTACAATCGCTTTTGGAATCCCCTTTAGGGGAAGTCTTGGCAGGTTTTCCCATACCAAACCCAACCCGGCTGGTCTGAGTGGTTTTTCTCTTATCTATAATGCCAAAATATAGGTGACATGAAATATTCAAATTGAAAGGCCGGAATTAAGTTAAGATCAAAACCTAAACTCACCATCAATTATAAATTATGATGAGTTCCGAACAACCTGGTTTAGAATTGAAATCACTGGTTGAAAGATAGGGTTGTGTGCATACTTTTAATAATACCTCAGTATGTTGGTAGACAGAAAAAATAATATAGCACTATTGTATTTCATGCATCACTTCAGTTCTTTATAAAAAAAATAAGCAATGTTTTTCAGTGATAAAATGTTAAATGTGCGTCAATGTCAGTTGGTCACTAAATTTGCTTAACAATTTCTTTAAAACGGCAATTCAATAATTTCATCAAATCATTTTATAGATTAAGACAATAATTTAAAATACGAATCTTTTTGTTTCAAGTATGAATAAAAGCTGAATGTTGAAATAATATTTAGTTATTAGCAGTTAGTTTGGCCCAAATTTGTCAAAATAAGCTCGAAAGCATCGCTGATGTATTCTTGACGTGCAAGTGAATAATTCGACCTCATGTGCATCCGTATTCATGTGAACTTCAATTTACTCGGTCTCTAAAAACACCGCAAAGGACCTCTTTTGTGCACAAAGGAGCACAATGTAGCACAAAGGACCACAAAGGAGTTTTATAAGAGCACAAAGGACTTAAAATTGTGTATATGGTGGGGGGAAAAAGTCATTTCATACCCAAAAAAAAATATATATATATTAAATACTAGCGTTAAATCGCTAAATTGAAGATTTACGAAACTTGTTAAAAATCAGTACGGATATGCATAAGCTTACGGCTTTTTTTAAACTATCAATTATCGAAGATTTTGTTTTTACATATATTTTAAAATATTGCAAAATATGAACTTAAAAATAAAGACTTTAAAGACAAAAAAAATTGTTTGTCAAAATTTCAATTCCACAAATGATAACTAATTGTATAATCAGGACTCGATTGCGCTTGGCAGAGAAATTCTGTACAATTCATTATCAGTGTTGATATAGTCAGTCTTTAAGAACAAGGAATAAAATTATCAGAATTTCAAAGTAAATTTCACTACTCGTTAAAATGAAAGATACCTTTTTTGTCCAGAATAAATATTGATAAAAAAAAAGTTTATTGACATTTCTGAACGACTGATTATTTTAAAATTATATGCTTTGACATAAACCGGATATAAAGTCGGTTCCAACCCGGTACCGGTGATTACACCAAGTCGTACGCACAAAAAAATCGCAATTTTCATGATTTTCAAAATATTTTTTTATATTTTTCTTCAGAAATTATATTATTTCCTTGTGAAAATCCAGTTACAGGTCCTTTGTGCTCTTATTACACTCCTTTGTTGTCCTTTGTGCTATATTGTGCTCCTTTGTGCACAAAGGAGGTCCTTTGCTGTGTTTTAAGGGACCCTAATTTACCCCCTTAGCTTAAGATGGGTTACGCATGTACTAAGGGTGTTCAGCTATTAAAAGGAAAATAATATCAACATTGAAAGTAAAACAAGGGTGAACCATTGCATTGACTGTCTGATTCGATCCACAAACAAATCATTCTTATACAGATAAAAACGATGATTAACTTATTTTTTTCACCTATAAAATCCAAATTGCATGTGCTCGCTATATATTTATAGGTTCATTCAACCTATGCCAACATTTTGAAATTTAGGTATAAAATTGTATGAAAAAATGTTGGCATAGGTTGAATAGAATAAAACAGATTATGTGTTATAAAAACAAAAAATTATTAGTGGCCAATCAATTTACAACCAGTTTAAACTTAGCGTTTAAGTGTACTCAAAACTATTTTGTCACTGTGAAAATGAAGGCAACTCTATGTGTTGCTGATCTTTTTTGTATTAGGAATGAACAAAATAAAACAAAATATAAACATGTATACAAGTATCACGTGAATATCAAACAATATGAAAATTATGATGAAAATATTTGATGATATTTTAAGTAAAATTACGTCAAATGCATGGTAATAATGAATATATAGTAACACTATTTAAAATCTGCTTCACATAGAAAAGTGTATTTAATTCACAGTTCAGTATTTATGGAATGAATCTGTTTTTGTATGTATTTGTATATATTTGTGTAACTTCTTATTACAAAAGCTATATTCAGCATTTCCATGTATTTTAAATAAATATACAAAAACGCATATTTCGTATATACTGACATGTGAAATTTTAATTTTTTTACTTGTAACAAGAAAACAAGTTCGGCGACACCATTTTGTCTTTTTACATTCTTAAAGCATATTGTAAATCCTATCCGCTCATATTCTATTTAAAAATTCTATCTCATAGATTTCTTTTTATTCACATAAAAGTGTTTTTTCGTGAATAATCTATGCAAAATTGAGAAATATTGCACGACTTGTAGCTTAAAAATAGCGTGGTGACCCATACGTTTTATTACATCTTTTAAAAAGGCATCACAGAATCTACATTTTGGTAAAGTATAAAAACATTCTATCTGAGGAAACATATAGTGATGATCCACCTTAAATAGTCTGACAAACGGATCATATATTATTGGTTACAAATATCATACATTCATTCTAGAAAGATATTTTCTAGAAAGTACATATCTGGCCTTTCCAAATCTGAAAATATCAGAAGCGGTCTGACATATTACCGCTCATACCTATAATCAAGGATTTGTATACTATACAAATCCTTGCTATTATATACATTATTATAATTACGCTGCTACTCATGTGTGCTTAGAAAATCGTAATTCTCCGTATATTGAATTTGGCAATAGAGCACTTTTCTTTGACCAAAAATAATGAGTGTACTTTTCTTTTTAAAATAAGTGTATTACTAAGTTCAACAGGGAATAATGTTTCTTATAAATAGAAATGATACTGAATGAAAGAACTCTGTCACAACTAATAAAAGCCAATTTATATATATATGTAATTTATACCTAAAATAATAAACCAACTTATCAAAAATAAAATTTAAATTTAAATATAGATAAATACAGATTTAATACACATTTTAGCTTGGAGACTCGGCAACATGTCATACGTGAACAAATCTTTTATATTAAACAATTCACAAATAAGGAGGGGTTTTTTAAAACTTTTTTTTAATGCTATTTTTGTAATTTTTTATTTATATCTGTTGTTTTTTTTTACCATATAGAAGTGTTCTTTTGTATTATTTTTGTCAATCTTTTTCAAATATCATATTTACTACAACATAATATTGCAAGTATTTAACTGTTGTTTCTAATTCAAAAGGAGTAATTTTTAAAGCTTTAAAATACTGACTGTATTTTACCTGTAATTAATTATTAATTGTTATAACAACACCTATTGTAGTTTGTTTGTAGACATAGGTTGAATATATATTTTT